CTCTCTCAGTCTCTCTCTCAAATAAATAAATAAAATCTTTAAAAAAAAAAAAGAAGAGGTAGATTATTCATCAAGTGACATTAATATTAACTAAATATGTGCAGGAAAATTTCTACTTAGATCTACATTATATAATATACTTGAAAATAAATTCCCATTAGTTTGAGGATTTTGATGTAAAAGAATGAATCTGTGAATAAATTTTCTAAGCATATAAACATTGGGGGAAATATACAAATGAAAAGATAATATATTTGATTTCCAAAAAATAACTATTTCTATAGGTCTAAAGATTTCACATAAATTTTGCTTTTCATGTATATCTAATAACATTAAAAAGCTCATGATTTAAGTTTAAAAAGTAGTATACAAATAAATAATTCTATGTCTAATACTAATTTTACAAAAAAATGCACATATATACATGTGAAATTATAAGTGACTTCTATCTTCAATGTACTTTTTATATTTAAATATCTAACAATATACATTGTTTAAAAGTGATTGTAAAGTTAAAAAATGAGATAACAATGTAAAGCAAACTGAAAAAAGTAATATTTCTCCTACAAAGTTTACTCCAGTTAAAAGGCTCTTAAAAGCGCAGCATTTAACACTTACTGTATCACTATCATCACTCTGGGTGTCTGATTTTGAATCACTATCAACATCATCTTTTTCTAATGAAGAAATGCTGATTTTATCCAATTCAGCTTCTATTTCTTCTTTGAGCTTTGTATCATCATCATCATCATCATTTTCCATCATCCTTCATAATAAACAGAACCATTTAAAAAAAATTGAAGAGGATAAAACGAGTAAAAACTATGGGTTGTTTAATGTGCTATACCAATCCAACATGTTCTGTGTAAATATTTTCATCTAGGATACTTTCATCATATCTTATTATGGTTGTACTATATATTAAAGAACACGGTTTTCTCTCTTCATTAATTCATTATTTCTTTGTTTGACTACAAAATGATCAACTCTAATAATACTCTCTTATTCAATACATTTCTTATTCAGAGATTAGAATACTCATAAGAAAAAAAAAAGAATACTCATTAGAGAACAACCTAAGTCTATATATGGGGCAACATATGGTTAGTTTCTACTCATTAACTCATAGTTGTTAATTTTACTAGAGATAGCCACATGTTTTTAACAACAATAATACGTTGTAATAATGGACAATATGTGGCTTATAAGACCAATATTTATATTATTTAAACCTTTAATGCTTGTGATGGATATAGATTAAGCAGTACATTACAGTATATCTTCATGTAATCATCATCATCATCCACCACCATTAGCTTCCAGGTATTGAGTATTTGTGACAAGCCAGGCACTCGAAGACACTTTGTGTGATTGATAATCATCAGAGCAAATTAACAGGTATAAGGTCATTATAGTCATTGTATTCATAAGAAAACCAAGGTCTGAAGAGTTTACTTAACTTCATATAGTCATTAATTGCTAATAAGTAATGGGGACAGGGCCCTAATTGAGAGATCCTGAATCCAAAACCAGTGCTTTTCCAACTATGAAATGGTCTCCAAACTTAAGTCAAGCTCTTCATCTGCCCAGTATCCTTCTGAATATCCCCTAGCCCAACAGTCTTCAAACTGCAGATGATAACCCATTAGTGGATCAAGATATTAATGCAGTGGCTCTTCATCATAAAGTTTTAATGATGTAATAGGATAGGAAAAATTAGGATAGGTCAGAAAATAACCTATAGGTGTACTATATATGTTAAAGATAAAAATTGTTTTAAAAACTTTTGTTTCAATTTTAAGTGGGTATATATGTATGCATGTGTGCATGAGCTGCAGTGTAATGTGTAATTTGTCTGTTTTACTGTGGGTCTTGGTTTAAGGAAAATAGTTTGAAAAATACTGTACTCATCAACTATGATTTTATTTCAGTCCAATCTCTTTCACATATAAATGATTTAATTGGACTGATCTCCATGTATTGCCTATACTCTTGGGCATTTATCCCAGAAAAATGAAATTTTATGTTCAAACTAAAACTTACATGAAAATTCACAACAGTTTTATTCATGATAGCCTCAAACTGGAGACAACCAAAATGTCCCTCAGTAGGTGAATGGTTAAACCAATTCTACTACATCCATACCATGTAATACTACTCAACAGTAAAAGGGATGGATATTGATACATGTCACAATACCGACAAATCTCCATGAATCTCTAGGGAACTATGTTGAGCAAAAAGCCCAAACCAAAAGGTAACATATCACATGATTCCATTTATATAACATTTTTGAAATGACAAAATTTTATAAGTGGAGAACAGATTAGTGATTACCAGGAGTCAGGGGTGGATGGTGGTTATGGCAATAAAAGCGCAACATGAAAGATTCTTGTAGCATTGGAGCTATTCAGTATCTTGATTGGAATAGTAGGTAAGTGAGCATATTCAGATGATAAAACTTGTATCTAATACACACAATGATTACAAGTAAAACGGAGGAAATCTGAGTAAGATTAGCAGACCGCACCAATAAAAATGTTACCATTGGGAGATACTGGACAGTGTACGAGGGATATTTCCGCATTATTTCTTAAAACTACATGTTAATCTACAATTATCTCAATAAAAAATGTAATTAAAAAATCCTAAATACTAAGGAAAGTTAAATAGATTATGATGGATTCATAGAATGGAATACTATACAAGTCCTTTTAAAAATGGGTATATTTACTGCGCTCCTGTGGAAAGGTAGCAAAGAAGAAATAATTGAAAAAAGGCATGTGGTAGAAAAATATGCAGAGTAACTATACACACATACTTTTTTAAAAAACAGAAACTTTGGGGGACAAATTGGGGAACTTTTAATTTTCATTTCATACCTTTATGTTGAGTGATCTTTAAAATCATGAATATGTACTACTTTTGTAATTTAGACAATTTTACCCATCATCTTCCTCCTCCAAAGGAAAACAAAACCATAAACAGAACCAGTGTAAAATGCTATCCTGTTATCAAATTTACTTAAAGTGCAATTCAAAAGATTTGCGAGGTAGGAAAATTAGATTTTTTTAAAATGTAGCTATAAAGCAGAATGCACAGGTACACAAAACTTTATGTAGAAAGAAAGGCAGGAGAACAGTGTAAAGCTAAGAATCATTTCCATTATGTGTCCCTCTCTGCTCATCAACTGGCCCTTTAGATCAGCCCTGTCCAATTATATATCCAAGCACATATGTGATTTTAAATTTTCTAGTAGCAATTTTTAAAAAAAGTTGAGAGTAACAGGTGAAATTAGTTTTAATAATATATTTTATTTAACCCATTATATCCAAAATATTATTTCAACATTTAGTCAATAAAAAATCATTTATTATTAAGATCAATGTAAAAAGTTTATATTTTTGTTTTGTATACTAATTCTTCAAAATGTGATGTGTATTTTACACCTACAGTACAGTTCAATTTGGACTAGCTGCATTTCAAGCCTTCAGCAGCCACCTAGTGGTTTGGTTACAGGATAGGACAGGGCAGCCCTAGATGTATCCCACCGTAAGAGGACTACAGTAAACTTCTTCAAGTTGATAATAAATCACTTGGAGTTGGCTAAAGCTGCCAAAAGTGGGAAATCTTAAGGAACTCTCCTTTCAACTGCAGTTTTTCAATTATAAATACAGGGAAGGAAATCTACTTTAAAAGGTAGCTATAAATCACAAAAAAAAAGAGGAAAGAAAGGAAGAGGGGAATAGAGGGAGGGATGAAAGGAACTATCATTTAGGGAGGAAATAAGGTAATTATCGAAAGCTCTCTAAATTCTAAGGGAGGATCTCTAAGTTTTGGGTGAGCTACAAAATCTCCAAAATCGAAAGAAGCCTAGGGCTCCTCAGACTCCAGCAGCCACCCCCTCAGCCCGCGGCCCCCCGACCGTTTGCCCTGGCCTTGGCAGAGAGGCGCCTGGCTCCGTCTGTGCTCCCATAGCTCTGTCTCGCCTCCCGCGCCACCAACCGCATTCATGAGGGGCCCCAGCTCACCCACCAGCGGCTAAATCCCTAGGCTTGGTTGGAAGACAGCGCCCAAAGACTCCAAACAAAGCGTAACCACGACAACAGCCAATCCCAAGGAAGATGGACGGGTCTTTTCTTACCGGTGCCCCAGTAGGACAAACTATCTCCACTCGAAATTGGCCTGAACGCTGCATCTCAGGAGCTGAATGAGGAACGTTTTTTTCAGGTAGATTTTAATATTTAAATACTTTGGGAAAATATGTAATAAAGAAACGACATTTTGCTACAGTTACCCAAGTAAAGGTAGCTTGACCTTTAAATTGTTTCTAATCTATCTATATTTATTACTTGCAACTAGTGAATGTTCAGTTGCCCACGTAAAAACTATTCATTCCACCAAATCTTAATCTTGAATAGTGATTTATGGGGCCTGAAGTATGGAAGACAATAAATCGTTTGCTTTCCGTGACAGCAATTTATTTTTAAAAAGACAAATAAATCATCACTCAATGCCTATCAAAAACCTCCAAGTGTATGGGGTGAAAATTTTTAAAAATTATTTTCTGAAATATGTTTTACTGTAAAATATTGACAGTGACACCCACTGTTTTAACATAAAATTTGAAGCGTAAGTATATATCATGCTATTTAATTTTAACTTAAAAATTCATCTAAGTTGGGGCACCTGGGTGGCTCAGCGTCTGCCTTCGGCTGAGGTCATGATCCCAGGGTCTTGGGATCAAGCCCCACCTCGGGCCCCTGCTTATTGGGGAGCCTGCTTCTCCCTCTGCCTCTGCATGCTGCTCCCCCTGCTCGTGCACTCTCTCTCTCATATAAATAAATAAAATCTTAAAAAAAAAAATCATCTAATTTCCTTTACCGTGGAGCAAATACATAGTGTACAAACTGTGAAATTTATTTTAGTTAATAACAGATATTTGTTTAATTTTTTTAAGCTTGCAAAGAATTAAATTCCAAGAGGAAGTGGCTAAGCATAATCGCAAAAGACATCTGACATACAATAAACTAAAAGCAAACATTTTCTTTGAGCCTTTGAAAGGAAATAGACTATTTCCTGGTAACAATTAACATTGCATCAACATAGGAATTAATAATATAGAATGAGAAATAAGTAGATTTTTGAAATTAAAAAAACCCATGTTAGTGCCTCACTCAAAGACAATGATTTTCAAAAATCAACTACTTCTGGTTTCAAATCTAATTAAAATTTAGGATATTTTCATTATCAAAGTCCATGCTCAAGTGCCATTTTTTCTTTTTTTTTAGTTTAGTTTTGTTGCAAATTTATAGACCATTCAAATTCTTCATTTAAAATGCTCAGGCTAGGGGCGCCTCCATGGCTCAGTCTGTTGGGGGTCCTATTCTTGGTTTCAGCTCAGGTCATGATCTCAGGGTGGTGAGATGCAGCCCCCCCACCCCCAAGTCTGCCTGAGATTCTCTCCCTCTCCTTCTGCCCCTCCCCCCTCAAATAAATAAATAAATCTTTAATAAAATAAAATGCTCAGCAAAAAAATAAGTAAATAAAAAATAAATAAGTAAAATACTCAGGCTATTATGTTGAAATTCACAATAAAAATCTTAAAATTAATTTTATTTGTAATTACGAAATTATTCAGGCTTTTCCTACAGAATAACAAATCCATTAGTAATCAATTAATTTCCAGAACTAATTTTTTTTAGAGATTTTATTCATTTATTTGAGGGAGATTGAAAGCATGAGTGGGGAGGAAGGGCAGAGGGAGAGGGAGAAGCAGACTCCCCGCTGAGCAGGGAGCCCAATGTGGGACTTGATCCCAGGACCCCGGGATCATGACCTGAGCTGAAAGCAGACGCTTAACTGACTGAGCCACCCAGGCGCTGTCCAGAACTAATTTTAAATTAGCTAAATTAGTAATCAGCTTTCATGAAGATGATGTCTAAACTGCTTTTTTTCTTAAATCTTACCTTGTCAAACAAATTGATAGCAAAAAAGAAAAATATTGAAAGTTCTGAAGATAAGTTATGATGCATGTTACTACATCTCTTATATTCTTGTTATTTTTTACTTTGGAGGAAAACTGATAATTCTATCAATTAGTCATACCTTAGCTATCACTAATTAATATTACTAAATAAGGAACAAAATACAATACAACAATTGTCTCATATAGTTACAGATTATGTCAATTTAACTTGAAACTTTTGTTTAAGTCTGCAGCATTTAGCATAAATTTATTTAATTGAAATCTTCCTAGATATTATAACCTAAAATTGAGTATGTCAGTTTGTCCATAACCTTTTAACCTGAGTAGGGTTTTTTTTCTTTTAATAAGTATTTCTCTTTTCATTAAATTTTTTAAAGATTTTCTTTATATATTCATGATAGACACAGAGAGAGAGAGAGAGGCAGAGGCAGAGGGAGAAGCAGGCTCCCAGAAAAGCAGGGAGCCCGATGCAAGAACTCCATCCCAGGACCCCAGGATCATGACCTGAGCTGAAGGCAGATGCTTAACTGATTGAGCCACCCAGGCGCCCCTCTTTTCATTAAATTTTGACCTTATTTTGAAAATTATCTGCAGGTCTGATTGGTTTATAGCCTATTGACCTAACACAATATAGTTCCCTTAGAGAGCACGTAATATTTATTGAGGACATGAAAGGATGAAAGATAACAGTTTGTTCCTCTGACATCTGACAAGAATAAGATTTCTTTGAAAATGTTAGTCGAGGGGCGCCTGGGTGGCTCAGTCGTTAAGCGTCTGCCTTCGGCTCAGGTCATGATCCCGGGGTCCTGGGATCGAGCCCCGCATCGGGCTCCCTGCTCAGCAGGAAGCCTGCTTCTTCCTCTCCCGCTCCCCCTGCTTGTGTTCCCTCTCTCGCTGTATCTCTCACTGTCAAATAAATAAAATCTTTAAAAAAAAAAAAAAGAAAGAAAATGTTAGTCGAGTGGTGAGATGACTTTAATTTAAAAAACATTGTGCAACAGTTGTCTTATTTTTTATATAGCAGTGATAAAATTTAAATATCCCAGAATATCACTGTGAAGCTCAAATAGCTGCCTAGCAGATGTTTGTTTTATTTTCTTGAGGATGACTATTGCATAATAATATTTTTAATATGTGACCTACAGTGTTGGATTCTTAGACCTCTGCTTTTCTTTTTCCATTTAAAGACTGTCCCAAACTCTCAAGGTCCTTCTCTAACCCTTTTTGTGCTCTCTGCAGCTCACATGATGGCCGACTTGAGTCCATCACTTTCCTACAGTTCCCATCCCTTTCCCAACCTCATGTGCTCCTCCCTTGTGTATGATTACTATACTATCACAAGATTAATATGTAACATTTAGCCGGGTGCTGGACTAAGTGCCTTCCAAACATAATCTCATTCAATTTTCACAGTATCCCTTTGAGGTGTGTGTTCTAATCTACATTTACAGGTGATGACATTAAAGCCTTGGGAAGAGTAGCAAGAAAGTGGTTTATATCTAAGGATTTGAATGTCAGCCCTGCCACGTCTTAACTAGGTGAACTCAAGAACACTATTTTACCTTCCTGAATCTCTTTTGTCATTGGTAATACTGGGGATAATAGCACAAGAGTACCTAATCTGCAAAACTTTGATGGTCAAGGCAACCAGTGTAAATGACATATTGTAGAATATGGCATAATCTTAATAGCCCAAGTAGTTAAGCTCTATAGACCTGAGTTCAAGTTTTATTTTGGTTTCTTTCTAACATCCCATTGCTGACAATTCTAATTCCTACTGTGTCTCTCATATCCTGGTACTGTTCTCCATCCCCATAACTATCTTGTAGTTTAGACGACATCATTTGTTATGAACTAATACATTAGCTTTGCAAAGTAGCTCCCTGTCATTGGTTTCTTTTCTAATTTGACTTCCACGCTGATGACAGAAATATGATTCTCCACTACCTGCAGAAGATTAAAAGCAAATTCTTAGCAAAACATACCTGATCTTTCACAATCTTTACTGAGTCTACTTCTCTAGCCTTATTTTTCACCTCTTGCCACTCTGACCCTTGCCCCCATGCCCTTCACTATAAAGCTTGTAAGCACAGTGTTCCATCTGTCGTGAAATCTTCCTATGTCTACCCCATTTTTATCTGACTGGGACCTTCTTATCAACCTTCAAGAATTATCTCAAATTTGTCTTCTCTCTGAAACTTCCCAGTTCCCTTTATTCCTTGTCCCCACATCCCCAACACATAATTCAGAGTGGACCACAGGTTTTAATACTTGACTCCTTGTACACTACTTATTCATTTTTGTGCTCCCATCTCCTGGCAGTTAGAAGGAATTTACAAACGATAACAAAAAATAATTAGGCTATTATTATCTAGTGAAAAACGACACCTGTGAATAGGTAAATTATTGTAAATTGTCCTTTCTTATATCATTTATACTATTAAAAATATCTCTGTTATTGGACCATTAATTACCTAATCAGGAAATGAACAAAAGAAATGCCACCAGGACCTTATTTGATTGTTAAAAACAAATTCTTTGTCTATAGCAAAAACAACAACAACAATCCAAGACAAAACTTGTTCTTCCACACTACAAATATTTAAATAGAAACTGCACTAACTTATTGTGTATCTTTCTGTTAGCACCTCTTTCTTTTCATTGATGTTGTTTCCAGTATGTGGTGCTTGTGACTGGAAGGATCAGCACATGACCATCTCCTCTTCTCATTCTGTGCAAATATGGCTGTGGACTTTCTTAACTTGTTGCTTAGACACCCTGTTTGTTGTGTTCCAACTCTTTAACCTGAACTTCTTGCTATGGTCTGAATGTTTGTATTACCTCAAATTACTTCACATGTTGGAATCCTTATACCCAATGTGATGGTATTAGAAGATGGGACCTTTTGGGGGTGGTTAGGTCATTGGGGGATCCCACATGCATGGGATTAGTGCTCTTATAAATGAGATCCCACAGAGCTCCTTAGCCCCTGTCATCACAGGAAGATACAAGAGGAAGTTTGAAGCCTGGAAGAGGGCTCTCCCCCACGCATGCTGGCACCCTGATTTAAGACTTCTAGCCTCCAGAACTGTGAGACATAAATTTCTGCTGTTTTTATTTATTTATTTGACAGAGAGAGAGAGACAGCACAAGCAGGGGGAGCAGCAGGCAGAGGGAGAAGCAGACTCCCCGCTGAGCAGAAAGCCTGATGTGGGGCTCAATCCCAGGACCCTGGGATCATGACCAGACACTTAACTGACTGAGCTACCCAGACTCCCCATTTCTGTTGTTTATAAGCATTCTAGTCTGTGGTATTTTGGTATAGCAGCTCAAATGGACTAAAACGCTGCTGTTTTGAAGTTATCATGAACAGCTTTCTTACCAAGTTGGCTGGTTTTGAGAGTATTGAATTCTTACCCTTTTTGACCTCTATATCATGCAACACTATTTTAGAAAATTATTTCTCTACTGATTTCCATGAGATCATGCTTTGATTACATCCTCATTTTGTAAAAGTCTGCATTAAAAAATTCAAATTCCTAATTATGTCATTCTTTACTATCAAGCATCTGCTTACTTTTATCTGCAGTCAATCTCCTCTTTCATTCTTTTCCATGACAGTAGCTCCTCGTGGATAATTCCCAAATCTGCATAACTTATGCTATTTACCTGCACTCCATTTCCAGTGCTTAACCACAAAGATATCTTCTACCCATTCAAACTCATTTATTAAACATGAAATATATGAGGGACACCTGGGTAGCTCAGTCGGTTAACTTCGACTCAGGTCATGATCCCAGGGTCATGTGATCAAGTCCCACGTCAGGCTCCTTGCTCAGCGGGTATCCTGCTTCTCCCTCTGCCTGCTGCTCGTCCAGCTTGTGTGCTCTCTCTCTATCTCCCTCACAAACAAATAAATAAAACATTTTTAAAAACAAAAAAATAAACATGAAGTATATGTTTTTTGTCCGTGATTATCATTTTTTTTTAATTTTTCCATCCTACAGGAATCCTTCTGATGATAATTATTTCTTTTCCATAATAAGACATATTGAAACTGTATCCAAGCACTCTTTTTCTCCCTCTAATTATCTCTTACAATGCCCTTTCCTAACTGTTGGGTATTTTGTTTGGCTCTCCTCACCCTAAGTCACTTCTTTCCTTCCTCTTGGGCACATAGCTGATTCCACCTTGGGCTGAGACCTGCTGTGTGACTTAGTATGTGCCGATGGAATATGAGCAGAAGAGAAGTGGGCAACTTTCACCTCACTGGCTTAAAAGATGCTTGCCCGAGTTTACTCATCCTCCTTTCCTTTCTGCTGGCTATACAAGATGACACTGTGAGGAAATTTGGGAGCCAGATACGGAACAGGCTGAAGCAAGCCCCAAGTTCCTAAGATGATCTAGAAGAGAACCAGTTACCCACCTTGGACTGAAAGAGAAATAAGCTTCAATTTATTTTTGTTTGTGGATCCTTTGATAAAGCATGTTAGCCCCAATTCTAATGTGCTAATTATTACCAACTCAACAGTCAAGTCTATGCCTCTCAATAGTTCCCACCAGAGTTCCTGCAGTGTTCTTGTACATTACTTTCTCATTCTTGTTCACAGAGGCCCAGGACTTTGGCTCTGACAACTTGTTTAGGCTATAGGAGAGGATCACAACTTTCTCATCAGCTGAAGTAAATGGAATTGAAGCCAAAATTATGTATCTACAGCCTCTTAGGGAGAAACTGAAATAAAAATCAGGCAGTCTTTCTAACTGATTGTTCCATCCAAACAGGCCAGACACTGGAGGAATCTAAGAATAAGAATGGAGGACAGAAACTGGAGAAACCAAATGGCAGGAGGGGACTTCAAAGCAGAGGGTGGAAGACAAAGCCTGGAGAGACTCCTTCAGCTGGGAAGGAGAACCCTGGCATTTCAGGGAGGAATGTGGCCTTGGGTCAGAGTAGGGAGGGGCAGTGCATAGACTCTAATCTAGACATCTCTTATTTCTCCCCTTTCCAGGGCATCCTTCGGTTCAACAAACAGATCTTCCCAAGTAGAGACAAATAGCTTCAAATTGATCTTATTAAATCTGGTTTCATCATGTCAATTACGCACTGCAAGATTAAAACACTATAAACTACAATACTTTGTAAAATACGGTACTAGCTAGAACTGAAACAATGAAGGAAAGGGAAAACCCAGAAACATGCCCAAGAAAATTTAAAACCTTCATTTCTAATAAAGCACCAAACACCAATGATCTAAGTGTTGACTTTCCCATAAAAGTTTAGGAAACTAAATTAAATAATGTTTAACACAACCTTAAGTTAAAGTTTGTTCCCTTCCATTATATACCAAACTAAATTACTCACTAATTAAATAATCTGATTCATCTACTCATTTATTAATTCAACAAGTATCTATTGAGTAGCTACTCTGTGCTACAGTCTGGGATTATAATGGTACACAAGACCTACTCTCTCCACTAATAGACCTCAGAGTCTACATGGGAAGAAAAGACAAGTAAAGAGAAAATAGAAGGGCAACAAATTGAGGTTAGGCAAAGGCTTCCAAGGTGAGAACTCAACGAAGAGTCAACATTATTTTGGGAAACAGGAGGGACAGGCAGAGGTGAGGGAAAGCTTTCCAGCAAGGAGAACAAGGTGTGTTAAGACTGGAAACAAAGTATTTTACTTTCTGAAAACTGCAAGAAGTTTTGTAAGGTGGCTATTGGCATGTTACTCAAATGCCTTCTTGGTCTCAACTGCCTAGTGCAGATGGAGAAGACAGGCCCAGTTTCAAGATATCTTCAACATGTCCTCATATTCGGGAGGGTGGAGGGGAATGCTATATTGACAACTGGTATCAGAAGAAAAATGTGCAAATAAATGACATGAGCAGGCAGAATTATTTAAAGTTGTTACTGTGGTGACTATTTATAGTAAAAGTTGTGGTTATCTTTTCAGAAACACCAATATCCAGGGAGAAAAAGAATGTTAAGAAAAAACAAAATGTTAATTTTTAAATACTTTCTTAATCTCATTAATGGAGCCTTCTTGGTAAGATTCTTTATAATTATTTCGTAAAGAAAATATAATGCGTTTTTATTAGCGAATATAAACACTGACTGTTTTTTCTGTAGGTTCTTGGACTTTTACTCATGGGATTTGGTGCATGGTTCTTATTGGATAGAAATAATTTTTTCACAGCTTTGGGTATGTATCTATTTTTCTTTTGCTCTCTGAGTGAAGCCAGGCATTCCATTTTAAATAACTGCATACATAATATATTCAGCAGGTGGCAGTATTTCTCCAAAATTCATTAAGTATTGTCCAAGAATGGAAGATTGTGTGTTGTTCTAATACACTCTGGATGAAAAGATAGTGGAGACCAATGTAGTGCTCAAGTTAAATCATTTCTTTTAAAACTCAATTACTCTCCCCATTACATGTTACAAATAAAATATAATATTATCCAAATATAAATGAAATAGTTGAATGCGTTTAACTAAATTTAAAAACCCTTCGTTTTACCATTTTGTGGTATGCTGTGCTCACTATGGACTGAAGTTTAATATCCTAAGTGTTATTTTCGTATACATATCCTTGGTGGTTGGGAAGGAAGCCATATTTCAAGTGCTCAGTAGCCATAAGGGGCTATTGGGTGTTGGCTATCTTACTAGGCAGTGCAGATTTAGATTCTTTCCACTACTCAGTAAGCTCTATTAGACAGCACTGTTATCATTAAATATATGACAAAAAGCATGCATACTGTAGAACAAACATTTCTTAGTGGACTTCAAGTAAGAAAAAACACATTTGTAGGAAAACAAAAGCTAAATAAAAAGATTTAATAGGTAATAAAGTACTACAAAGTATTGAATAATTTAGTTAAACTTCAGCTACACCTAAGTGCCTGGTATCTTTATTCTCTTCTGTTTATATACTTTGCTTATGGTAAAGTGTTTGTGATGTCTGAGTGCATTAGTGGTTTGCTCAGAGTACATGGGTGTGTGGAGATCTTACGACAGCCTTTCTTCTTTCCTTTCCTTCCCCAGAAGAATGGCAATGGTAGCTTCCACTTATTTAGTGTTGATTATGTGCCAGGCATTGGGCTAAGCACTTCCCATACAGGATCTACTTTAATAATGTAGTAGTTAAGGTAGAGCAAAAGTCTTTTCTTTTTTCTTTCCCTCCATTGTGGAATTGAAAGATAATTCTCATTAACCTTAACGTACTTGCCTTATGCAAAAAAATATATCCTAAACAGACAGTCAGAAACTTATCCTTTAAGTTCTGTTTCTTTTTTTAAAATTATGTATTTAAACATTTAGTGAAATCTCGGTTAAGGTTTTAAGACATGGAACTGAAAATAACCAGTTTGTGGCAAGAAAGTGGTTGGTTCCTCCCCTCTCTTTTATGTGCAACTTCCAACGAACTTACCTCTTCTTAAAAATGATTCTGCCTTCCCCTCTCCATTTGTAATAACACCAGGCCACCTAAGAGCCCCATCTTCCTTCCCTCTGCCCCAGTAATAACCTCCAACAGCCTCGTATTCTGATCTCTTTTCTCAGCCATCTTCCAAATGCCACTGAAATAATTTAAGATGAAAATCTACCCATAGAACACGAAAAGCTTTTTTCTGGTTCCCCACTGCAATTATTTATTCATAGGACAAATATTTACAGAGTCTGTTCTACATGTTAGGCGCAATCCCGTGAGCTGAGGATACTGTACTGTACAAGAAAGACGGATTTTGTCCTCGCGGAGCTTAACTCCAATGAGGAAGACTGGATAAGAGCCTACAAAATGTGCATAATTTGTCCCCTGCAAACCTGCCCGGTTTCACCTGCTTCAAACCCTAAGTGCCAGCAAAGCTGAATATCCAACACATACTGTGCCGTGTCTCAGAATGCCTCTGTCATTCCAACCGAGATCTTTTCAGTCCTCATTAAAGCCCAAGCACAGTGTTGCCTTCGCCAGCAATCTTGCCTACCTACACTCTCCAGCCTCCTCCCCCTACGGGCTTAGGGTCTCCTGTACCCAGGGGGCATGCTGGTAAACGTTTAACAACTGGCTCTGGGATAGAAAGTCTTGATTTATGGTATCTACTGATTTCTGTGGTTTAAAGACGTAATGCCACAATGGCTGATTTCACAGTGCCAACATGAATTGGGTTGGCTTACGAATTTTGTGAAAATATAACAGTTGGCGTTTATGAGCCAGAACAAGCTGGCTTCCAGGACACCACTGCCTGCACTGTTCTCCCATAAAACCTATGGCATATTTAATTTACTTCTTCTTCTTCTTCTTTTTTTTTTTTTGACAAATATTTGTTAGGCATTTAGTGTTCTACAGTCTGTGTCATAACACTAAACATTTAACAATTAGTCTGTTGACTACATAAATATATATAGTCTCTAGCAGAGAGCTCAGTCTAGATGGAGAGAGAATAAAATATAGTTTTAATGGGGTCATATTACCAATAAACTCAGACTTTCATGTAAGAGAAACTTAACCCACACATGTTAGATGCCCCTAAAATTTGTATGAATAAATTCATAAATGTTTGGATGTTCATTAAACATAGAAGAATTCACCCCAGGAAAAAAAATTTCTACCTTCATAGAAGACGATGAAGATAAGGTAAAAGAAAGACATCTTTTGAGATTGAAGAAATTTTCTATCATGTCATTAATGGAAGAAAAGTTGTTGCCAAGACTAAGTAAGAGGGTGCCAGAATGAAGTTTAAAAAAGAGAGACAGAGAATCCTACCGGTTTGGCAGCCACTGCTTAGGGAAATCTTAGGTTACTGCATATATTATTAAATAAAATACAACATCACCTAATAATAATTTATTTTGTGGTTTCCACAGATGAAAATAATCACTTGATAGTATATATTTGTCACATTTTGATTGGAACTGGATCTGCTATTGTTCTTCTTTGTCTCTTGGGTTATTTGGGAATTCACAGTGAAATCAGATGGCTCCTACTTCTGGTATGTATTTCATCTTAATAGTCTGAACTATTCTGTATCTTTGATTTTGAGTGTCTATGTCACACAAATGAGCAATAATGATTTACGTCATAACATTGCAGTATAGTGTGCCCTAGGGAATAAGGTACATGAAGCACTCCCTCTCAAGAAACTTCTAGGTAGAATGTTCTTGGTGAGTTTTCCATGGATCAAATCTGGATCTCTGCATTTACACACTTAGATATTATTTTTCAGCAGAGTCAACAGAAATTCATCTCCTAGTGTAAACTACAATTAACCAAAATTAAGAATCTGAAGACTAAAATCCAAATAAACTATTAAAGTCAACAAGCAATGTGGCTTAGCAAGGAAAAGAAAACATATCCTATACTCAGCACATTTTCTCCCTGTGGGAATGCCATGTAGGAAGCTTAGCTTATAACTGAGATCACAATTTATTATTTAACAAAGAGAAATAGAACTGCTGAGAGGGCCAGACCCTGGCATCTGGCTAGCACACTGTCTCCCTAGCCATGTAACGTGAAAAGATAAATTATAATTAGGATTATAGACATGAACATGAGCCATTTACCATGCATGTGGCAGGTCTGGATCACAATCCACAGACTCAGATGAAATACAGCTTTTTAACATTTTCTTTAAATCAAATCAGTTTTAATTCACAGGCACTCTCTTGTCCAACAAATATGAAATTCAACTGCAGACATTGTGTCTCTTACCAGGAAGAAGGCGGAAAGACTTAGGTTTTATGTAACAATGAAAGTCTCGATGGTCACTCTGGACACTGGTTATCAATCTGCGCTGGTCACCATGAAAACTCTCACTTTCCCAGCTCACATGATCCCTTCCGGTCTACTCATTCTACTGTTTGAATGGCCTAGGGTAGCAAAGGCAAAGCTGCTCTTATGTGGTATATCATCCAGGATATCATACAGTATATCAGTGAAACCTTTTGTGAAGCACTGGTAGATAGCCATGACCTCAGCTCCTTCTCCGCAGTATCCTTCCCCTGAAACATTCACCCTCCCAATGACACAGCAATTAAAGGGTTAACGCCTGACACAGGGATCAGTTGCTACCCAATAATCGGTACCTCTTATTATTTGAATATTTCCCCTGGCAGAGGCTTTTTAGGCAAAGCTGGAAACCACACTTCCTTTTCCCTCTGGGGTCTTACCACTCACCAGGGGAACGCCAGGAAGCCCAATGCGTGACTCTGTTGCTCTGGGAATGCGCAGGGCTCCACAGTCAGGCTCAGACTCTTTCTAGTCTAAAACGAGATCTCACTGTCTCTTCTCAAATCCCACCTTTCTCTTCTTCCAGGACATTGAGCATAATTTTCTCATTGGGCTTCTAATTTTGGATCTGGAAACCAGGACAGAAATGGCTTACAGGAACATTGTGATTTTCTCCTTGCCATACATTTCCATTTAGGCAAAGAAGGCACAGAGCCTGATACTAGTATAAGAAGGGGGGGGCAGTAAGGAAAGGGGAAATTAGAGGGAGAAAACCAGACATCTTCTAACTTTCTGCCTTATGGGATTCAAGTATTTATGGGCTGTGACCGAGAAGCCTGACAGACCCCATCATAAGGAATGTGCATAATACTAGGTCCTGAAGCCGAGACACCACACTCTTGTCTGGATGCTCCAAGGAAGGGAACTGCTACTTTTTGCCATCAGGCCACTTTCCCTATTCTCCTCTGAATTTACCAGTACTTTTCTGATAGATACATTTTTCCTTTAACGATGTTAATTTATGCAGTCAAATTACGGGCAAATTTTATAGGCCTAAGCACTATTCTTTGGCTTAAAGGTGATTTTGCATACCCCAACTCCAGTTGAATAGATATTATAGTTTCACAGTCTAACTCTTCAGGAGAGTTTTTGTGTGGGGAGGGGGGGTATTTTTTTTTTTTTTAAGATTTTCTTTTTTTGAGAGAAAAAGAGAGAGAGGGAGAGAGCATGAGCATGGGGGCGGGCAGAGGGAGAGGGAGAAGCAGGCTCCCCATTGGGCAGGGAACCTTTTGACTAAGCTAGTATTCAACTCTGTTAAGTGTCTACCAGCTCTATCCCAGGACCCAGGACTCTGAGATCATGACCTGAGCTGAAGGCAGACACTTAACCGATGGAGCCACCCACGTGCCCCTTCGGGACAGTTTACTTCCCTTTTTTAAAAGTTCTTGGGCAGTATCTCACAGTACTCTGTAAGTGCTAATAACACATAAATACACTGAATTTTTCTTATTACAATAGACATCTAACTACTGTTAAAAGGGAATCTTCAAAGGTAAAAATCATGACTTAACATTTGTGTCAATGACCATGTGTCAGAAACTTTATTTAAATAATTAATCAGGAGTGCCTGGGTGGCTCAGTCGGTTAAGCATCTGCCTTCGGCTCAGGTCATGAATCCAGGGTCCTGGGATTGAGTCCCTGCTCAGCGGGGAGCCTGCTTTTCCCTCTCCCTCTTCCTGCCACTCTGCCTACTTGTGCCCTCTTTCTCTGTCAAATAAATAAATAAATCTTTGAATAAATAAATAATAATTACTCAGTAAGGGAACTGTAAGAAGTAACAACTGGTTGAAGGAGAATTAGATTTGTGGAGATTTAATTCTCTATAGACTGTATTCATTTGCCTTTCCATTAATAGGAATCATTTTGCATTGCTATGGACAGGGAACTTTTGTATTACTATCAGGATTCTGTACAGAGTTGAATACTAGTTTAGTCAAAGGTAATATTGCATATTCTCATAAGGTCAGAAACCTGGGAAAGTCCATTAGACCACAACCAGCTTGCCATTAAAAAGAAACTCAGTAATATTTTTTTATTGTTTTACACAATTTTTCCTGCTTCTACCAATCTCCTTCTAGTGAAGGTTAAGTGAGATAACGTATATAGAAGTATTAGAAATCTAAACTTCTAAACAGATCTAAACACCATATTTTTGTCTCTGAAATGTTTGTCTCTGAAAATAGGAAATATAATTTATATCAATCAAACAAATTTTAACTGACTGTTTTAAAGTACTAATGTTTAAAATATGTGCAATTAAGAATACTAACAGTAAGTCATTCTTATATTTTAGTTAGTAAAATATTCAGACTGCTAATTTTTAAAAATCATTATGAATTCTAGATAATGTGTATTACTGTGTGCTCCTGTGATGAAGAAAATTGCAGTGGCTGTAAGTTTAAAAAATATAGTTACATAAGTGTGAAAATGATTTCACTTGGCTTTGGATGGAAGTATTTTCAGTTTTCAAAGCAAGAGTTTAAATGTACCTACAGACTTAATTTTATTATAGCAGATGATTTTGTATTTTCTGGGGGTTTGTTATTGTTGTTACTTTGCACCTGATGGGTTTGTGTAGTAGGTCACAGTTCAGTGAGTTTTCTAGTATTAGTGGACTGGCGTGTTAAGTGGAGGTCCAGATAAGTGAGTTACTCTCTATAACAGTTTTTGGATCTGAATGAAGGAAAATCATCAACAACTTTGTAGAGCAAGTGGTCTATAGCATGCTCACTGAACACGATCACTTCTTTCTTAATTCTTATCCAAATGCTCAGTGAATTTTTTTCTTTGCCTTTTTGTTTGAATAACTTCACTCATGTATATGAGGGCAGGGAACCATCAATACCTGTGTGTATTTTAAGACTTTGTATTTCCTATGATATGCATTTTCCCATCACTGAAGTATCTAAGATACATATTAGAAACATAGTTGCCATCTCTGTTTTTCTTTTGTTTCAGTACACAGCACTGTTAATGTGGGTCTTTGGTGTTCAGGTTGTACTTTCAACATTCATCTTCATAAAGAAAAAGGAGGTATGGAAAGATCATCCCTTTATTTGAAATCTAAAGAAAATTGAGTATCTAAAATTATTGAGGCCTATGAGCCTATATTAAGAGCAAAAGGTAAATGGCTTTGGGGGGGGGCGGAGATTCATTGGAAGTACTATAGAATTCTATAAGGAAAGGGCCAGGGGTCAGATCGGAAAGGTGGGCTAGGGAAATTTGTCTTCAGCTCAGCAGAAGATTGAGAAAAATGTAAATGTAAATAACAAAGAACATGAGGGAAGAGGAGATGATACTAAGAGTAGGGAATCCAAAATTGGCCCCCCAGCCAACTGTGACTACCATGACTGACCCAATTCTATTTTTCTATATAGGCTGACTATATTTTTTGGAAAGAAACACCTTTAGACTTGTACAAATTTGAAATTTTGTGATTTTATTTAAATGAGATGAACTGAGGGCACCTGGTGCCTGGGTGGCTCAGTTGGTTAAGCATCCAACTCTTGGTTTCAGCTCAGGTCATGATCATGGGTTGTTAGATCAAGCCTCACATCAGGCTTCCCACTGAGTGGGAGTCTGTTTAAAGATTCTCTCCCGGGCCCCTGGGTGGCTCAGTTGGTTAAGCAACTGACTTCAGCTCAGGTCATGATCCTGGAGTCCTGGGACCGAGTCCTGCATTGGGCTTCCTGCTCAGCGGAGAGTCTTCTTCTCCCTTTGATCCTCCCCTCTCTCGTGCTCTAGCTCTCTCAGTCTCTCTCTCAAATAAATAAATAAAATCTTTCTTAAAAAATTAAAAAAAATAAAGATTCTCTCCCTGCCCACCCCCTCAAATAAATAAAAAAAATCTGTAAAATAACAATAAATTAATAAATAAATGAGATGAACTGAATAATTCATGTATTTTGCATAGGTAGGACCATGAGTGATATAATTAATCACAGGATTTATATTTATCAAATTAAGTTAAAAAAACACATAATAAGTTATCTGAAAAAAATCTTTTGGAAACAAAACTTAACTATTGAGATCAATGATTACTTTCAATTTTTAAAGAAATTCATTGTTTCAGTGCAGTCGCGATCTATCTTTGTGTCGAGGGAGATTGTCCTGCAGGAAAAGAGCATGGACTAGAAGTCGTACAGATCTGCAGATGACTAGCGCTCAACAAGCTACTTCAGAGCCCTGAGCTTATGTCTTCATCTGTACAGTATGGTTCATTCCTACCTCCCTTAGAGAGTGACTATGAACTGACAACTTGAAAAGTTCCTGTAATGCAGTAGCTACTTAAGAGCTCTCTTCCTTTCCTTAATTAATTTCCAAAGGAGCCCCTGATTTATTCCTGTGTTTCCTGGCCTTCAAATTCTCTCTCAATGTAGAATCCTAAGCAACAACCAAACCCCAATAAAATCTTTCCTACATAACACCACTGCCCTCCTACTTCATTTGCTCTCCTGTGCTGGGCATCTATCCTGGATATCTAATCACCCAGGACTTCTTGTAAATGAACTGACATTTAGCGCTAAACTTTCTTCTTGTGTGTGTGTGTGTGTGTGTGTGTGTGTGTGTACAGCATGTGAGTTCTGTAAAGCTGTTTTTGTGGCAAAGCACTACATCCTAGCTGACTTTGGGATCTGGTGATACAACTTGAATATAACACTTCAGGATCCTTAGCACATAAATTTAGTTTATCAGTGTTGTCCATACTCACTTAAGTATTATTCACATACTCAGCTCTACTTAAGAATCAGAAAGACCATTTGAGAATAATTACCATGTGCCAGAAACTGTGATAACCACTTTATGGACTGCCGGAGTCCAGCTCCAGCCGGGGTGGGTCTCTCGTAGGAAAGGAGGGCGTCGGCGAATGAGGAGACACACAGGGTCAGGTTGCAAGCATCTCCTC